CTATAGCTGGTTCCGGTATTACCTCTATAGCTGGTTCTGGTAATACCCCTATAGCTATTTCCGGTATTATCCTCTATAGCTGGTTCTGGTAATACCCCTATAGCTATTTCCGGTATTACCTCTATAGCTGGTTCTGGTAATACCCCTATTGCTAGTTTCGGTATTACCTCTATAGCTGGTTCTGGTAATACCCCTATAGCTAGTTCCGGTATTACCTCTATAGCTGGTTCGTGCCAGGAATTAAGTGTAGGTGTCCTGTGTTTGTTATTTACGTATACCAATTGAGTTATAAGGCTTCTCCTACAAACATACTGATTTCATTTGAAATTAATCATAGTTGAGCTATTAACTGATAGTGTTGATTTTTTTCTTATTAAATGTGAACAGGTCATACCATATGATATACTTACAGCTGGTAAACAAATTAATTCCTAAAACTATTGATCAGTTATTGATAACAATCCTTACAACCTTATAAGGTAGCATTTACATTGATGCTGGTGTTGTAGGCTGAATATTACATGGGCTTTGTTGTTTTATTAGGTAACATATTGCTTTCTGAACATGGTAAAAAAGTGTAACAGATTTTATCAGTTCTGGCAAACGATCATTCTGGACCCAGCAGATTGATGATTCAATACCTGGGATATTGAGATATTACTATTTCTAACAGCTAGTAAGCCTATTTCAGTTGCATGAAGTTGAGAAGTGAGCAGGTCCCATGCACAGGTGTTACACCTTGTGACCCGGAGTGACATAACTACTGACTAATACATTCCTATATAAAACTAGGTCACATTTTTACTTACAATTTTTTATAAAGAGCATATGCAAGAAGGATTAGTTTTTATATGATTTATGTACTTTCCTTATTATATTGTAAATGTGTGTTTTGTGATAAGCATGACTAGACAGTACTCATGTTATCTGTGTGGCTGTACTTATTAAGGATATGTAGGACAGGATTATCAGTGTTTGTGGTAAGAATGTTCCCTCACACTGGTAGTCTGTGCCCTCACACTGGTAGTCTGTGCCCTCACACTGGTAGTCTGTTTCCTCACACTGGTAGTCTGTGCCCTCACACTGGTAGTCTGTGCCCTCACACTGGTAGTCTGTGGCCTCACACTGGCAGATGTCCTCCCTCTGCTAATTGATGCCCTCACACTGGTAGGCTGTGCCCTCACACTGGAAGTCTGTGCCCTCACACTGGTAGTCTATGCCATCCCACTGGCAGTCTGTCCTCACACTGGTATTTTGTGCCCTCACTCTGGCAGTCTGTGTCCTCAAACTGGTAGTCTGTGTCCTCGCACTTGTAGTCTGTGGCCTCACACTGGCAGATGTCCTCACTCTGCTAATTTATGCCCTCACACTGGTAGTCTTTGCCCTGACACTGGTATTTTGTGCCTTGACACTGGTAGCCTGTGTCCTTACACTGGTAGTCTATGCCCTCACACTGGTAGTATGTGTCCTCACACTGGAAGTCTGTGTCCTCACACTTGTAGTCTGTGGCCTCACACTGGCAGATGCCCTCACTCTGGTATTTTGTGCCCTCACACTGGTAGTCTGTGCCCTGACACTGGTATTTCGTGCCCTGACACTGGTAGCCTGTGTCCTTACACTATTAGTAGATGCCCTCACACTGGTAGTCTATGCCCTCACACTGGTAGTCTATGCCCTCACACTGGTAGTCTGTGCCCTCACACTGGTAGTCTATGCCCTCGCACTGGTAGTCTGTGTCCTCACACTGGTAGTCTGTGTTCTCACACTTGTAGTCTATGCCATCCCACTGGCAGTCTGTCCTCACACTGGTATTTTGTGCCCTCACTCTAGCAGTCTGTGTCCTCAAACTGGTAGTCTGTGTCCTCACACATGTAGTCTGTGGCCTCACACTGGCAGTATATGCCCTCACTCTGGTATTTTGTGCCCTCACACTGGTAGTCTGTGCCCTGACACTGGTATTTCGTGCCCTGACACTGGTAGCCTGTGTCCTTACACTATTAGTAGATGCCCTCACACTTGTAGTCCGTGGCCTCACATTGGTATTTTGTGCCCTCACTCTAGCAGTCTGTGTCCTCACACTGGTAGTCTATGCCCTCACACTGGTAGTCTATGCCCTCCCACTGGTAGTCTGTGCCCTCCCACTGGTAGTCTATGTTCTCACACTGGTAGTCTGTGTCCTCACACTGGTAGTCTGTGCCCTCCAACTGGTAGTCTATGCCCTCACACTGGTAGTCTGTGTTCTCACACTTGTAGTCTATGCCATCCCACTGGCAGTCTGTCCTCAAACTGGTATTTTGTGCCCTTACTCTGGCAGTCTGTGTCCTCACACTGGAAGTCTGTGCCCTCACGCTGGCAGTCTGTGCATTCACAGTGGTAGTCTGTGTCCTCACACTAATAATCTTTTACCTCATGTGAAAATATTCTTGTACGTAACCCCCCCCCCCGATAATAACTAATAACTAAGGTGTTTCAAATTATGTATTAAGGAAACATTAAAGCAGGTGTTTGCATATTCAATCTACGTTTTATTCAAATCAGGGTTGCATTTTTCACAAAAATATTTCATTTAAATTTTTATGATAATTTTTATTACTGGTTTCATATGAAGAATTGTGAAACTGATTTTTTTTGTCCCATAGTTATGGTAACTTTTTCACCATAATGATTTTTTTTCAGGTCGAAAAGAATATCACTAGGGAGGGTGAATGCTGTACAGAGTGTCTTCCAAGAGAAAGTAAGTGTCTTCCTAAATAGTTGTATATCTACCCAGTGAAAGTAAGTGTCTTCCTAAATAGGTGTCTATCTACCAAGTGAAAGTAAGTGTCTTCCTAAATAAGTGTATATCTACCCGGAGAAATAAAGTGTTTTCCTAGATAAGTGTCTATCTACCCAGAGAAAGTAAGTGTCTTCCTAAATAGGTGTCTATCTACCCAGTGAAAGTAAGTGTTTTCCTAGACAAGTGTCTATCTACCCAGAGAAATAAAGTGTTTTCCTAGATAAGTGTATATCTACCCAGAGAAATAAAGTGTTTTCCTAGATAAGTGTCTATCTACCCAGAGAAAGTAAGTGTTTTCCTAGATAGGTGTCTATCTACCCAGAGAAAGTAAGTGTTTTCCTAGAAAAGTGTTTATCTACCCAGAGAAACTAAGGGTTTTCCTAGATAAGTGTTTATCTACCCAGAGAAACAAAGTGATTTCCTTAATAAGTGTTTATCTACCCAGAGAAACTAAGTGTTTTTCCTAAATAAGTGTTTATCTACCCAGAGAAACATGGTGTTTTCCTAAATGAAAAAAAGTAAGCTTCTAATTAAAGAAGGAAAACGTTAACCCAGAAAGGGTAAGTGTCTACCTTTAGTGGGGTTTACCTAGGGTATCTGTTATAAAGAAGATCACATAAGATAACCTGTATTCTGCCATTACATTATCTGGGCTATACCAGTGGTAACCTGTATTCTGCCATTACATAATCTGGGCTAGATCAGTGGTAACCTGTATTCTGCCATTACATTATCTGAGCTATACCAGTGATTACCTGTATTCTGCCATTACATTATCTGGGCAATACCAGTGGTAACCTGTATTCTGCCATTACATTATCTGAGCTATACCAGTGATTACCTGTATTCTGCCATTACATTATCTGGGCAATACCAGTGGTAACCTGTATGCTGCCATTACATTATCTGGGCAGTACCAGTGGTAACCTGTATTCTGCCATTACATAATCTGGGCAATACCAGTGGTAACCTGTATTCTGCAATTACATTATCTGGGCAATACCAGTGGTAACCTGTATGCTGCCATTACATCCTGTATTCTGCCATTACATTATCTGGGCAATACCAGTGCTAACCTGTATTCTGCCATTACATTATCTGAGCAATACCAGTGATAACCTGTATTCTGCCATTACATTATCTGTGCAATACCAGTGGTAACCTGTATTCTGCCATTACATTATCTGGGCAGTACCAGTTGTAACTATTTGAAATGATTATAGAAAATAATTCTATTAGATTTTAATCTTTTTAACTATCCCAGACTGAAGCATTAATGGTGTTTGAATCAACTAAAAACAATTTTTATTGAAAATTAATGCTTTCAATAAATTAAAATTATCTTATTAAATTATCAACAGATTACATGCTTAATCAAAAGCCTTCTTATTTCATTATTTGGTATATTTGCTTTTGAAATATTATATATGTTTTTTAATTTAAAGTTTGTGACAGGATAAAAATTTATTCAAGGTTGGCTGTGGGTTTTTTCTGATGCTTTGCAAAGCGTGTTTACCTTGTATAGAAAAAGAACAAGTGTGTGATTTAAGAGTGTAATCTTGGTAATTTGGACAGCTCGTTAGACCTTATCTGTCCCCCCTCTCCCTCCCAACCTCTCAAGTGTAAAATTTATAAGCAGCAAGAGATGTTATCTGATCAGAGAACAACCTTCCCTGTATGCTAGATATTTACTGACGAAACAAAGTTTATGCTTGATTATATAACACCTCACTCCCCCTCTCCTGCTTCCCTCCTCCAAATTTGGATTGTATAGCCCATTCATAAACTTGAACATGTTTATCATATCTCTGGGAGCACCTGTATGTTAGAGTTGGAAGCTTCAATCAGTATTTAGTTTCATAATCATCTCAAAGTTTTCAGCATATTGACTGAAAAATTCATGTGTAAAACCTTCAAAATTTTAAGCTGAACTTATTTTGTGATTTCAATTCCTTAGTCTTGTATATGCAAGCAGGTTTGGCTATTTGAGCACACCTATACACCTCTCTACTGTATTTACTTAGTGTTACAAGCAGGTTTGGCTATTTGGGCACACCTATACGCCTCTCTACTGTACTCAGTGTTACAAGCAGGTTTGGCCATTGAGCACACCTATACGCCTCTCTACTGTATTTACTCAGTGTTACAAGCAGGTTTGGCTATTTGAGCACACCTATATGCCTCTCTACTGTATTTACTTTGTGTTACATGCATGTTTGGCTATTTGAGCACACCTATATGCCTCTCTACTGTATTTACTTTGTGTTACATGCAGGTTTGGCTATTTGAGCACACCTATATGCCTCTCGACTGTACTCAGTGTTACAAGCAGGTTTGGCTATTTGAGCACACCTATACGCCTCTCTACTGTATTTACTTAGTGTTCCAAGCAGGTTTGGCTATTTGAGCACACCTATACACCTCTCTACTGTATTTACTCAGTGTTACAAGCAGGGTTGGCTATTTGAGCACACCTATATGCCTCTCTAATGTATTTACTTTGTGTTACATGCAGGTTTGGCTATTTGGGCACACCTATATGCCTCTCGACTGTACTCAGTGTTACAAGCAGGCTTGGCTATTTGAGCACACCTATATGCCTCTCTAATGTATTTACTTTGTGTTACATGCAGGTTTGGCTATTTGAGCACACCTATATGCCTCTCGACTGTACTTAGTGTTACAAGCAGGTTTGGCTATTTGAGCACACCTATATGCCTCTCTACTGTATTTACTCAGTGGTACATGCAGGTGTACCTGCAGCAGGTATTCAGGCCATTCCTTTTCCTATTTTATATTTGGTATCTGGTAGAAACTGAACTTGAAGAAAACAAACAAAACAACATTTTTTGATGATAAAAGAATTTCTTTTAAAAAGTTGAATATGGTCTTTTTTTGTGTAAATCGATACTTTATTTCATGATTTTGGACTTGTTAACAGATGCATGTGTGACTGAACAGCCCATCCGTTACCATGGCGACATATGGAATGTGTCCAGTTGTGAGTTTTGTATGTGTCAAAATGGACAGGTGCAGTGTCATACAGCCGTATGTGAGCATGTCAGGTGTACACAGGTAAGAACAGGTAAACCTGTCTATTCAGATTGTCAGTATCTCAGGTGTATACAGGTAAGTGCAGGTAAACCTGTCTATATATACAGATTGTCAGTATCTCAGGTGTACAAAGGTAAGTACAGGTAAACCTGTCTATACAGATTGTCAGTATATCAGGTCTACACAGGTAAGTACAGGTAAACCTGTCTACACAGATTGTCAATATCTCAGGTGTACACAGGTAAATTCAGGTAAACCTGTCTATACAGATTGTCAGTATCTCAGGTTTACACAGGTAAGTACAGGTAAACCTGTCTATACAGATTGTCAATATCTCAGGTGTACACAGGTAAATTCAGGGAAACCTGTCTATACAGATTGTCAGTATCTCAGGTCTACACAGGTAAGTCCAGGTAAACCTGTCTATACAGATTGTCAGTATCTCCGGTGTACACAGGTAAGTACAGGTAAACCTGTCTATACAGATTGTCAGTATCTCAGGTGTACAAGGTAAGTACAGATAAACCTGTCTATACAGATTGTCAGTATCTCAGGTGTACACAGGTAAGTACAGGTAACCCTGTCTATACAGATTGTCAGTATCTCAGGTTTACACAGGTAAGTACTGGTAAACCTGTCTATACAGATTGTAAGTATCTCAGGTGTACACAGGTAAGTACAGGTAAACCTGTCTATATATACAGATTGTCAGTACCTCAGGTGTACACAGGTAAGTACAGGTAAACCTGTCTATACAGATTGTCAGTATCTCAGGTGTACCTGGTAAGTACAGGTAAACCTGTCTATACAGACTTCAATGTAAATCACTTTTACTGGAAAACAAAATTCTGCAGATAAGATGAAAAGAATGTAAAGTTGCACATGACATCATCTTATTATCTTTGTACTAGATTTTACTGCTATGGCTTTATATCATTTGAAAACTGTCTTACATGGCCAGCTATGTACCATTTTATTTTGTATAGCAAGTATCTTACGCTACAGTCAGTAGTCGGTAACCCATTCTATAATCTATAAATGTGTTTAACCGTTTGCTTGTCTCCTCAGGACGAGGTACTGGTGCAGCCCGAGGGTAAATGTTGTCCCGAGTGTGTAGATCCTCCCAACTGTGACTTTGCTGGTGACACCTACAAGGTTAGTTCAGTTCCTCAGACCCTGGCCTACTTTATACCTCATTTGTTCTTTCCTTCCTTTCTTTCCCCACTAATCTTTCCTTTATTCTTCCCTTCCCCTTTTCATCCCTCTTCTTCGACTTCTTCATCCTTCCATGTTTCTCTCCTGTTGTTCCTTCATTCACTCCCTGTATGTTCCTTTAAGTGTTGTCATTTCTATCTCTCCCCATTTCCCCACTTGCATTATCTGTATTTTGCAGTTGTTCCCAGCAGAGGCTGTTAAGGGACCCTGTAATTTTGAGTGTAGACATGATGAGATAGGCAACCTCCCAAAGTGTGGAGTGTGTCACATTCCTCAAATAGCTATACATAATAGGTACAGAGACTTATGATGGGGAGAGGGTATCTTCGCTTCATTTTTGTGTGAAGAAAAGATTATTTTCTGAGAGATCTGCTATAAAACCTTAATGTCTTAGATTATAGTCCTCCATTTCCTCTTCTTCCTTATTATGATCAAACTGTTAAGCAGAGGTTATCTGTCTCCCATGATAAATATGGACTTACCAAATCTTCATAATAAATTAACACACAGACGTATCTTGCTATACAGTAAAATTAAATCAAACAAGTATATTCTCAGCTTCATTTTCAGTTTTACCAATATGTACTCTCTCCATTTTATATAAATCAATCATTATAACCCAAATATACATAATCTTATAATGTCATTGCATGTGTTTATATGTGTTTTACTTAGTTTACCTTAGCATGCAAGGAGCAATAATTTTGTCTTTGAGAATATTTGATAGTCACATAACATGAAATCAAAGTATACCAAGCATAGCCCATGCTCAGTGGCTAGTTAAGAAGGGAGGTGCTAATGGTGAAGGGTAAGAAATGTTTGGAGAGAAAGATAACCTTTGAAGAATAAGTTGATTAATGAAGATGAAGTGAAGGTTATGAATCGTATCTGTATATATATCACAAAGTTTTTAAGTAAAACAGGGGCTGCTGCAACTGACATCTCAGATAAAACTGGAAAATATCCTGAAAGCGAAACAGCCATTGTTTGCTCACCTGCCCTTAGGGCAAGTGAGCTTATGTCGTGGCGCAACGTCCGTCGTCCGACGTCGTCGTTGTCCGTCGTCAGTCGTCAACTTTTTCTTTAAAACCTATCTCCTCCTAAACGCCAAAGAGGATTTCAACCAAATTTAGTCTGAAACATCACTAGGGGAGGGCAATCATTTCTCAAATAAGTGAGGTTGGTTCTACCCCTGAGGCCAGGGGGGCGGGGCCCTGAAGGGGAACTTAGCTAAATTTGCTTTAAAACGCATCTCCTACTTAATGCCAGAGAGGATTTCAACCAAATTTAGTCTGAAGCATCACTAGGTCAGGGCAATCCTTTCTTAAATAAGTGAGGTTGGTTCGACCCCTGAGGCCAGGGGGGCGGGCCCTGAAGGGAAACTTAGACAAATTTGCTTTAAAACGCATCTCCTACTTAACGCCAGAGAGGATTTCAACCAAATTTAGTCTGAAGCATCACTAGGGGAGGGCAATCATTTCTTAAATAAATGAGGTTGGTACGGCCCCTGAGGCCAGGGGAGACGGGGCCCTGAAGGGGAACTTAGCTAAATTTGCTTTAAAACGCATCTCCTACTTAACGCCAGAGAGGATTTCAACCAAATTTAGTCTGAAGTATCACTAGGGGATGGCAATCATTTCTTAAATAAGTGAGGTTGGTTCGACCCCTGAGGCCAGGGGGGCGGGGCCCTGAAAGGGAACTTAGCTAAATTTGCTTTAAAACGCATCTCCTCCTAAACACTAAAGAGGATTTCAACCAAATTCAGTCTGAAGCATCACTAGGGGAGGGCAATCATTTCTTAAATAAATGAAGTTGCTTTAAGACGCTAATACCCCCCTCATCGCCTGAGTGGATTGTACAAAATTTGGTCAAAAACATTATTGAGGAAGAACGAACATTTCTTAATTGAATGAGGTTGATTTGACCCCTGCGGTCCTAAGAAATGGTACAGCTAGATTATCATATTCTATGGTGTAGTTTTCATAAATTTTTAAAAATTGGTTTCTAGGTTTATAAAAGCTTATAGTTGAATGAAAGTTAAAGTATTGTCTAATTACACCCTGTAATATGACATATTACTTATTTCAAAATCTGTTAACATGGCAACTCAATGGAGGCCCCTGATTAGTTGAAAGTCAGATATTGTGGTCCCAGTTGGGTTGAAACATATATCTTGTCTGGCTTTGAGGAATTTTCATATAAAGATGTACTAATGCATTCAGTTGTAATGACTTAAATATAAAACCAGGTGAGTGATACAGGTCCAATGGACCTCTTGTTGTAATTTCTACAGCAGGCTTTTATGGTATTTATAATATCGTAGGCTACCAAGTAATATAATATAGCAGGCTATCAAGAGATATTATATAGCAGGCTACCAAGATATATTATATAGCTGGCTACCAAGTGATATTATATGGCAGGCTACCAAGATATATTACATAGCAGGCTACCAAGTGATATTAAATAGCAGGCTACCAAGTGATATTATAAAGCAGGCTACCAAGTGATATTATATAGCAGGCTACCAAGAGATATTTTATAGCAGGCTACCAAGTGATATTATATAGCAGGCTACCAAGATATATTTTATAGCAGGCTACCAAGAGATACAATATAGCAGGCTACCAAGAGATATTTTATAGCAGGCTACCAAGAGATATTACATAGCAGGCTACCAAGTGATATTATATAGCAGGCTACCAATTGATATTATATGGCAGGCTAACAAGAGATATTATATAGCAGGCTACCAAGAGATACAATATAGCAGGCTGCCAAGTGATATAATATAGCAGGCTACCAAAATATATTATATGGCAGGCTAACAAGAGATGTTATTTAGCAGGCTACCAAGTGATACTATATATAGCAGGCTACCAAGTGATATAATATAGCAGGCTACCAAGTGATATTTTATGGCAGGCTAACAAGAGATATTATATAGCAGGCTACCAAGAGATGTTATATAGCAGGCTGCCAAGTGACATAATATAGCAGGCTGCCAAGTGACATAATATAGCAGGCTGCCAATTGATATTTTATGGCAGGCTAACAAGGGATGTTATTTAGCAGGCTACCAAGATATATTTTATAGCAGGCTACCAGGTGATATTATATAGCAGGCCACCAAGAGATACAATATAGCAGGCTGCCAATTGATATTTTATGGCAGGGTAACAAGAGATGTTATCTAGCAGGCTAACAAGAGATCTTATATAGCAGGCTATCAAGAGATATTATATAGCAGGCTAACAAGTGATACTATATATAGCAGGCTACCAAGAGATATTATATAGCAGGCTATCAAGAGATATTATATAGCAGGCTACCAAGAGATGTTATATAGCAGGCTACCAAGAGATATTATATAGCAGGCTTCCAAGAGATATCATATAGTAGGCTAACAAGAGATATTATATAGCAGGCTACCAAGAGATGTTATATAGCAGGCTAACAAGAGATGTTATATAGCAGGCTGCCAAGAGATATTATATAGCAGGCTACCAAGAGATATTATATGGCAGGCTAACAAGAGATGTTATATAGCAGGCTAACAAGAGATATCATATAGTAGGCTACCTAGAGATATAATATAGCAGGCTATCAAGAGATATTATATAGTAGGCTACCTAGAGATATAATATAGCAGGCTACCAATAGATATTATATAGCAGATTATTTTCTTTACTGCTTATTGAGTTTTCATGGTTGGTCAGGTGGTAAAGTTGATAATGCAGTAGCTTTTCTCCAAAATGGCTTGGTTTGATTCACTGATGAAATTTTAAGGTTTTTGGTCACCAGCTAAACCACATAGATTCTCCGTGGGTATTCCTATTTCTTTCACATTAGGACCCGTACATGCTTCCATTCATGCCATCATAAGTGATAAAGTCAAGTTGACAAACTTTGTTTTAAAATTTGTTGTAAGATAAAAAAGTTTACATTTGTTAACTTTCCATTATCACTTGATATCTACTTTTTTATGTGATTTTCCTGTCATTGTAGATATCTGTTTTCCTTAACATTGAGCAATACACATTATTGCTGTAAGACTTTGCTACGTTACTAAGCTCTAGTCAGCGTAGCTGTTTAGGAGTGAGGGTGTGCTGAAGTACAGTTATAGATTAAGGAAACACTAATGCTACATCTACTTAAGGAATGTGATGTAATGCTTCCCCAAGTATTTTATCATCCAACATGGCAGGTTCTCTCTTCAGGGTGATATTAACATGTTAAACAACTCAATGTTAGCAGTGATAGTTTTGTTATCTGGAGTGAACATTGTGCTGAGAATACTTAGTGTATTCTGTCAGTGGTGTTTTGGTTGGAGATAATGTTATCAGAGGAACCTTTCCTCCTCTCACTGAACATTTAACCCTCCATGTTTTAGTCGGAGAGATAATGGGGAACTTTTCTCACCTGACTGTAGTTTTATCCTCCCCTTTCCTCTTGACTTATCCTCCCCTTTCCTCTTGACTTATCCTCCCCTTGCCTCTTGACTTATCCTTCCCTTTCCGCTTGACTTATCCTTCCCTTTGCTCTTGACTTATCCTCCCCGTTCCTTTTGACTTATCCTTCCCTTTCCGCTTGACTTATCCTTCCCTTTCCGCTTGACTTATCCTTCCCTTTCCGCTTGACTTATCCTTCCCTTGCCTCTTGACTTATCCTTCCCCTTCCTCTTGACTTATCCTCGCCTTTCCTCTTGACTTATCCTACCCTTTCCTCTTGACTTATCCTCCCCTTGCCTCTTGACTTATCCTTCCCCTTCCTCTTGACTTATCCTTCGCTTTCCTCTTGTCTTATCCTTCCCTTTCCTCTTGACTTATCCTTCCCTTTCCTCGTGACTTCAACAATAGACATTTTGTTGACATTATGTAACCAGTAGTTGTATTGACAACAGATTGTCAGGTGTATGTAAGTGGTTGACATTATGTAACCAGTAGTTGTATTGACAACAGATTGTCAGGTGTATGTAAGTGGCCTGACAAGTGAGGATTTCATCTGAAGGTAAAGTGGATTACAATGTTAGTTGCCTCTGTAGCATGTCTGTCTGCCTTTTCTATCAGGGGACATGGTACCTATACTCTATGTAGCTAATGTCTATTGTCTGATTGTCTGTCCTAAGGACAGAGACAAGACCATGTCCTAAGGTATGTCTGTTACATGTCTGTCTGTCCTAAGGATGGAGAGACGTGGCATCCTGACCCCTGTTCTGTATGTAACTGTAAGGATGGTGAAACCGTGTGTTACCAGAACTCCTGCCCTGTTTGTTCAGAGGGAACCGTGTCCATCCTGCAACCTGGAGAATGCTGTGGACAGTGTCAACCAAGTATGTTTGGAATGATATCATGTAGTCAAAATATCCTAAGGGAGGTAACTTTAATTAAAAAAGGTTTAAATTTAATGGATGACAAACAAGCATGATGTGAACTTATTTATCTTTTTATGGAATGAGATAATCAACAATACCAACATTTATATTTCTGTAATTTTCACTGTATAGTACTGGATGTAGGTTGGTGGTTTTTCTATGAGAACTCCGACTTTCCTACACCACTAAAACCTGGCACGTCCTTAAATGACCTTAGCTGTTAATAGGATGTAAAACAGAAACAAACCAACTTAAACCAAATCCATGAAGGTTTACCTTTAGTATATCTCCTCTTCCAGTAAAGGGAGACAATCATCTCTGGTACGGTATCTCTATTAAGTTTTCAGATTAAGAGGATAAAATAAAAAGCATTTATACATGTAATGGCCGAGTTATACAGTTGACCATGTGTCTGTAGAATATACCTGATGTGATTCCTCATCCTATGACTACAAGTACATATCTAATTATCTCCCTTGCAGTGCCCTGTGCAGACACTTGTTTAACCTGTTCCCATGATGACCCCCAGCAGTGCACTAAGTGTCATGTGACCAGCATGTTGGTTCAGGATGGAAGATGTGTTCCGGGCTGTAAGGAGGGGATGTTTGCTACACGGAACAGCCAATGTCAAGGTTAATATTTTATCTGTATGTCCCACAACTAAGACTTAAGTGTACCTGTATCACCAACAGAAGGTGTGCAGTGCACTGTAATTAGGTCATTGTGGCCTTCACATTGAGGTCAAAGGTCAGATAAGTGTAAATATTCCAGTGAAATCCAGTCTGTACTATAACTTTTAAACATTTTAAGGAATTTTTATAAATCATGAATTATGTATGCTTCAGCAAAAGGAAGGTGTGCATTGCATTGCAATTTAGTCATACTGACCTTCATCTCTAGGTCAAAGTTCAAAAAAGTACAAAATATTTAGTGAAGTTTTGTCTGGGATATAATTTATACATAGAAACCATGGTAGAAATTAGAACAATACCTGCATCACCGACAGGAGATATGCAGTGCACTACATTTAGGTCACGGTGACCTTCACCTCTTCATCAAGGTCAAATAAGTATAAAACAGATATGTTTTTTTGGCTGATAAGGGGTGACATATATTTTTGTTCACAAAAACAAAACTGTAGTAATGTGTGTGGTTTTATGTGTTGTCAGTCTGTCATGAGACCTGTCAGACCTGCGTGGATGGAACACGACACCACTGTGTGAAATGTAAGCCAGGACTGCTGTGGAGGAATGGTCAGTGTGTACCTAGGTGTGACAGGAACTACTTCCAGGAAGGTGGCCAGTGTATTGGTAAGTTCTAACATACAAAATCTGTTAGGAAGGTGGCCAGTGTATTGGTAAGTCCTAACATACAAAATATGTTGGGAAGGTGGCCAGTGTATTGGTAAGTCCTAACATACAAAATCTTTTGAGAAGGTGGCCAGTGTATTGGTAAGTCCTAACATACACAACCTGTTGAGAAGGTGGCCAGTGTATTGGTAAGTCCGAACATACAAAATCTGTCTGTAAGGGAACCTGGATTAAACTGTTTGCGAAGTATTCAGTAAGCCATGGCTTAGCATTGTAAATTGTTCCTGAACACTGAACTAATTAGATTAATATGCACAATCTTATATTTTTATTGTTTTATAAGATGTTAATTGGAATATTTTGCTTTTGCTTGCCAGAGTGTCACAGTAGCTGTAGCTTCTGTGTCGGGCCAAAGAGCCAAGAATGTCAGTCATGTTCAAACCCAGGACAGGTGCTCCAAGAGGGCCAGTGTGTGGATGTATGCCAATCAAACTACTACCTCAGGAATAAGGAGTGTCTAGGTATGTAAATCAGGAAAAGGGAGTGTCTAGGTATGTAAATCAGGAAAAGGGAGTGTCTAGGTATGTAAATCAGCAATAAGGAGTGTCTAGGTATGTAAATTAGAAAAAGGGAGTGTCTGAAGGTTTAAAAATCAGGAAATGGGAGTGTCTAGGTATGTAAATCTAGAAAAGGGAGTGCCTGGGAATATGAATAAGGAAAAGGGAGTGTCTAGGTATGTAAATCAGGAAAAGGGAGTGTCTAGGTATGTAAATCAGGAAAAGGGAGTGTCTAGGTATGTAAATAAAAAAAAGGGAGTGTTTAGTATTTAAACTTGGAACAAAGAATGTCAAAGTGTGTAATTCGTGAACGATGGGTATCTGGATGTGTATATTAGGAACAGGGTGTGTACTATATGCCATTGTAATATATTTTTCTGTAAATAACAAAACGAAGAAAATATCAAAACAGAAAAAAGTGTTTCCTGTATAAAACCTGATAATCTTTTAAATGTAATTCTGGGTTTTAGATATTATGAATTGATAATATCATAAGGAAGTAATCTGAAAACTGAAATTGCTTTAAAAATCTTATTTTATTCCCAGATAAGGTAGATTCAACTTTTAAATGTAGGTTAACTTTTTAATCACCCTAATCATATTTAAGGTAAGTTATAATGATGTAGAAATTAATTAAAATTGATTAGTACCATGAATTTAGTTATTTTTTGCCAGAATATATATGAAATCAGAGCTTGAAATTAAGGAAGTGTCATGTTATGAGCAACAACATAAAAATCTCACTGCTTTCAATTTTAGAAGAGAGAACTGTCGACTAACTGGCGAGGTTTGTTGCATACCTGTACTGTAATATATTCTATACCAGTGTTCTGTATTGTTGCGTACCTGTACTGTAATATATTCTATACCAGTGTTCTGTATTGTCACAGAGTGTCCGCCCACCTGTAAAACATGCTCCGGTGATGGGGGATCCTGTACCAGTTGTTTCTCAGGATTTGTACTACATCGTACACAGTGCCTGTCCGAATGTCCAAATGGATTCTATCCTAATCCTGATGGATATTGCATACGTAAGTCAATGTGGGTAGCCTCATATTTTGAAGTATAAACATGTGAATGATTAATTTATATCCACTTTGATTCTGCAAAAGTGATGTTCTGTTATTGATGTCAAGGGATGGGAATTTAGGTTATGAACAAATTGGTTTTGAATTCATTTACATTAATTTGTAATTATTTTGCTTTCACGTAATTACTGTTACAGTACCCTCCCCTTGTTGATGAGGAAGTGGAAGGAGTGTAGCTTTCCATTCATACATCTGTTCACTTATTGTCATCGCTCTTACAGCGGCTTTATTTCTGAAAGGATTTCAGACTTTATATCTAATATATTGGTCAAATGTGAGAATACCCGTTTCAGATTGTGTTGTATGAGAGGTAAATCACTTATTTGACTTTTTTAAGAGTTAAACCATTACTTTGTCAGTGTTGTTTTAGAAGTGGGTTTTTTTTTTGTCGGTGTTGCTTATGAGGTAGGGAATCTAAAAATTCAACACATGCTGATTCTGTAATGTTGTTTGTACTCAGGATGTCACATTAGCTGTCGGACATGTACTGGTCCTGACGACACCCAATGTACCTCCTGTATAGAGAGAGCTCGCCTCAGTAAGAGAGGACGTTGTCGTATGCCATGTGCTGAAGGCCAGTACCTAAAGAGAGACGGTTCGTGTCATAGTAAGTACTTGCTGTACTAAGTTTATTGTATAAGAACAGCTAGGTTTAATCAGTATGTGATGAAGTTATTTATAAAATGTTTATAAGACTGAATGTTATTAATGTTTCCTCCTCTCAGTAGCTCTTTATAACAAAGTTAACTTTAGTGTTACTGAACCATTTGACTCATTGTACGGTCCTTTATAACAGGTTGTGAGTTTGGCTGTTCCAAGTGTTTCACTGGTCCACGTGGCAGGGAGTCGGTTTGTACGTTGTGTACCGACCCGACCATGGTAGCGTTTGACAGTCTGTGTATGAGACGTTGCCCTATTGGACATTATATTGAGGACCAGATATGTAAAGGTAAGACTAGTACTGAAGTAAGACTACTGAAGTAAGATGATCACAATTACAGGTAGAACTACTAGAGATTTTCCTCAGGTGAGAAAGGTAAGAATAGGAAAGACAATTAATGTTTAATCTTTAAATGAATGCTGTGTTAATTACACATAATATGAACAACATGCCACTAAAAAAATGCTGAAAATAAAATAAAACTTACACATCACGTGCGGCTGATGGCACATTTTGGATTGGTTAGGACGTGTGGCTGATGGAACATTTTGGATTGGTTAGGATGCGTTTTAAGAAAGGCTGGCTCATGATTTTTATCCTCCCATCTTTGACAGGATTTATTATGGTATGGTGTTCTGACTGGCTGTCAACAATATGTGTCGTGTACAATTGTCGAATTTTGTATACAAATACCTCTTGGAGGGTAGTTTAACATGCTGAAATCAGGTCTCATGCCCCACTCAATAAATAGAATTGGGACCCTTTGTTAATGGTGTATGACTTTATGGGGGACGTATCCTGTTTCTGCCAAATCTTGTATGATAGTCCTCTTCGGAGGATGGGGTGTTGCATGCTGAAATCAGGTCAGGGACTTACACAAAGTATATTTTCATTATAAATATTTTAAAACATTCACAAGCCTTAACATTTTAATCTACTAGCTCTGGGCATCAAGATAGTGCAATTGTCCTGCAGGCCTTTGTACCTCTATATACAGAGTTAAGGCCCTTTGTTCAGTTTTGATACTGAAGATTTTCTGGAGAAGAATTGCTTGTAATATTTTGCCTTATTTGTCCTATTAACTGGCTGTTATCTGTCAATAAGATCTTCTTTGTATCAGGCTTTGTAACAGAGACTAGATGCATGTAGCTCAGTTTGTAGAGTGACCAATATTGCGTCAAATTGGACTACTGTATTTATCAATACATAATTGTACCGTTACCTAGAATTAAAACCCCAGTTGGGTGCTTTACAAACTGAGCTATCTGGTCCTCGGAGATTGACATTAATGAATAACTGTTAGTCACACGAGTCCGTGTGGAGCTTATGTGAGTGTGTGCTAACATGTGTTTCAGAGTGCGGTGGTGGGTGTGTGCAGTGTGATTCACCTCTCCAATGTTACAAGTGTGGCCCCGCCTTGTTGCTGTCCGGGGACAGGTGTGTCCGCCAGTGTAGCCAGCATCAGTACCGTGACTGGGACAACCAAATCTGTATAGGTATAACATAACTTATACTAACAGTTCAACTTAAAAATACATCACTGAGACACCTGGTCTGTATATATAATAGTTATTACACTATAACACAGCTCACTGAGACACCTGGTCTGTATATATATAGTAACACTTTTACACATCTCACTGAAACACCTGGTCTGTATATATATAGTTATACTTTTACACATCTCACTGAGACACCTGGTCTGTATATATAAAGTTACACTAATACAAAGCTCACTGAGACACCTGGTCTGTATATATATAATAACACTATAACACAGCTCACTAGGACCCTCATCTGTATAGATAGTTACACTTTTACACAGCTCACTAGGACACCTGATCTGTATAGTTACACTATTACACAGCTCACTAGGACCCTCATCTGTATAGATAGTTACACTATAACATAGCTCACTAGGACACCTGATCTGTATAGATAGTTACACTTTTACACAGCTCACTAGGACACCTGATCTGTATAGTTACACTATTACACAGCTCACTAGGACACCAGATCTGTATAGTTACACTATTACACAACTCACTGAGACACCTGATCTGTATATTTACACTATAACACAGCTCACTAGGACACATGATCTGTATATTTACACTATAACACAGCTCACTAGGACACATGATCTGTATAGTAACACTATTACACAGCTCACTAGGCACCTGATATGTTTAGTAACACTATTAGGGAGCTCACTAGGACACCTGATCTGTATAAATAGTTACACTATTACACAACTCACTGAGACGCCTGATCTGTATATTTACCCTTTTACACAGCTCACTAGGAACCTGATATGTTTAGTAACACTATTACAAAGCTCACTAGGACACCTGATCTGTATAGTTACACTTTTACAAACCTCACTAGGACACCTGATCTTTATAATTACACTATAACACAGCTCACTATGACACCTGATCTGTATATTTACCCTTTTACACTGCTTAGTAGGACACCTTATCTATATAGTTAAGCTCACTAGGACACCTGATCTGTATTGTTACACTATTACACAGCTTAATGAGACACCTGATCTGCATATTTACACTATTGCACAGCTCACTAGGACACCTGATCTGTATAGTTACACTATTACACAGCTCACTAGGACACCAGATCTGTATAGTTACACTATTACACAACTCACTGAGACACCTGATCTGTATATTTACACTATAACACAGCTCACTAGGACACATGATCTGTATATTTAAACTATAACACAGCTCACTAGGACACATGATCTGTATAGTAACACTATTACACAGCTCACTAAGCACCTGATATGTTTAGTAACACTATTAAAAAGCTCACTAGGACACCTGATCTGTATAGTTACACTATAACACAGCTCACTAGGACACCTGGTCTGTATAGTTACACTATTACACAGCTCACTAGGACACCTGATATGTTTAGTAACACTATAACAAAGCTCACTAGGACACCTGATCTGTATAGTTACACTTTTACAAAGCTCGCTAGGACACCTGATCTTTATAATTACACTATAACACAGCTCACTATGACACCTGATCTGTATATTTACCCTTTTACACTGCGTAGTAGGACACCTTATCTATATAGTGAAGCTCACTAGGACACCTGATCTGTATAGTTACAATATTACACAGCTTAATGAGACACCTGATCTGTAAATTTACACTATTACACAGCTCACTAGGACACCTCGTCTGTATAGTTACACTATTACACAGCTTAATGAGACACCTGATCTGTATAGTTATGCTATAACACAGCTCACTAGGACACCTGATCTATATAGTTACATGATAGCACAGCTCACTAGGACACCTGATCTGTATAGTTAGACTATTACACAGCTTAATGAGACACCTGATCTGTAAATTTACACTATTACACAGCTCACTAGGACACCTGATATGTTTAGTAACACTATAACAAAGCTCACTAGGACACCTGATCTGTATATATAGTTACACTATAACACAGCTCACTAGGACACCTGATCTATATAGTTACATGATAGCACAGCTCACTAGGACACCTGATCTGTATAGTTACAATATTACACAGCTTAATGAGACACCTGATCTGTATAGTTATGCTATAACACAGCTCACTAGGACACCTGATCTGTATAGTTACACTATTACACAGCTTAATGAGACACCTGATCTGTATATTTACACTATTACACAGCTCACTAGGACACCTGATCTGTATAGTTACACTATTACACAGCTTAATGAGACACCTGCTCTGTAAAGTTACGCTATAACACAGCTCACTAGGACACCTGGTCTGTATAGTTACACTATAACACAGATCACTAGGACACATGATCTGTATAGTTACACTATTACACAGCTCACTAGGACACCTGATCTGTATATTTACACTATTACACCGCTCACTAGGCCACCTGATCTGTATAGTTACACTTTTACAAAGCTCACTAGGACACCTGATCTGTATAGTAACTCTATTATACAGGTCACTATGACACCTGAGCTGTATATTTACCCTTTTACACAGCTCAGTAGGACACCTTATCTATATAGTTACATGATAGCACAGCTCACTAGGACACCAGATCTGTATAGTTACACTATAACACAGCTCACTAGGACACCAGATCTGTATAGTTACACTATTACACAGCTTAATGAGACACCTGATCTGTATAGTTACGCTATAACACAGCTCACTAGCACACCTGGTCTGTATAGTTACACTATTATATAGCTCACCTTGACACCTGATCTGTATATTTACATCATTACACAGCTCACTAGCACACCTGATCTGTATAGTTACACTTTTACAAAGCTCACTAGGACACCTGATCTGTATAGTTACACTATTACACAGCTCACTATGACACCTGATCTGTATATTTACCCTTTTACACAGCTCAGTAGGACACCTTATCTATATAGTTACATGATAGCACAGCTCACTAGGACACCTGATCTGTATAGTTACACTATTACACAGCTTAATGAGACACCTGCTCTGTATAGTTACGCTATAACATAGCTCACTAGGACACCTGGTCTGTCTCACTAGGACACCTGATCTGTCACTATGACACCTGATCTGTATATTTACCCTTTTACACAGCTCAGTAGGACACCTTATCTATATAGTTACATGATAGCACAGCTCACTAGGACACCTGGACTGTATAGTTACACTATTACGCAGCTCACTAGGACACCAGATCTGTATAGTTACACTATTACACAACTCACTGAGACACCTGATCTGTATATTTACACTATAACACAGCTCAATAGGACACATGATCTGTATATTTACACTATAACACAGCTCACTATGACACATGATCTGTATATTTACATCATTACACAGCTCACTTTGACACCTGATCTGTATAGTTACACTTTTACAAAGCTCACTAGGACACCTGATCTGTATAGTTACACTATTACACAGCTCACTAGGACACCTGATCTGTATAGTTACACTATTACACAGCTTAATGAGACACCTGATCTGTATATTTACCCTTTTACACAGCTCACTAGGACGACTGATCTATATAGTTACATGATAGCAAAGCTCACTAGGACACCTGATCTGTATAGTTACACTATTACACAGCTTAATGAGACACCTGATCTGTATATTTACCCTTTTACACAGCTCACTAGGACGACTGATCTATATAGTTACATGATAGCACAGCTCACTAGGACACCTGATCTGTATAGTTACGCTATTACACAGCTCAATGAGATGCCTGGTCTGTATATTTACACTATTACACAGCTCACTAGGACACCTGGTCTGTATAGTTACACTATTACACAGCTCACTAGGACACCTGATCTGTATAGTTACGCTATTACACAGCTCAATGAGATGCCTGGTCTGTATATTTACACTATTACACAGCTTAATGAGACACCTGATCTGTATATTTACACTTTTACACAGCTCACTAGGACACCTGATCTATATAGTTACATGATAGCACAGCTCACTAGGACACCTGATCTGTATAGTTACACTGTTACACAGCTCAATGAGACACCTGGTCTGTATATTTACACTATTACACAGCTCACTAGCACACCTGGTCTGTATAGTTACACTATCACACAGCTCATTAGGACACCTGATCTGTATAGTTATACTATTACACAGCTCACTAGGACACCTGATCTGTATAGTTACACTATTACACAGCTCACTAGGACACCTGACCTGTATAGTTACACTATTACACAGCTCACTAGGACCCTCGTCTGTATATATATAGTTACACAATAACACAGCTCACTAGGACACCTGATCTGTATAGTTACACTATAACACAGCTCACTAGGACACCTGATCTGTATAGTTACACTATTACACAGCTCACTAGGACACCTGACCTGTATAGTTACACTATTAAACAGCCCACTAGGACCCTCGTCTGTATATATATAGTTACACAATAACACACCTCACTAGGACACCTGATCTGTATAGTTACACTATTACACAACTCACTGAGACACCTGATCTGTATAGTAACGCTATTATACAGGTCACTATGACACCTGATCTGTATATTTACCCTTTTACACAGCTCAGTAGGACACCTTATCTATATAGTTACATGATAGCATAGCTCACTAGGACACCTGATCTGTATAGTTACACTATTACACAGCTCACTAGGACACATGATCTGTATAGATAGTTACACTATTACACAGCTCACTAGGACACCTGGACTGTATAGTTACACTATTACACAGCTCACTAGGACACCAGATCTGTATAGATAGTTACACTATAACACAGCTCACTAGGACACATGATGTGTATAGATAGTTACACTATTACCCAGCTCACTAGGACACCAGATCTCTATAAATAGTTACACTATTACCCAGCTCACTAGGACACCAGATCTGTATAGATACTCACTTTGACACCTGATCTGTATACATAGTTACACTATTACACAGCTTAATGAGACACCTGATCTGTATAGTTACACTATAACACAGCTCACTAGGACACCAGATCTGTATAGATAGTTACACTATAACATAGCTCACTAGGACACCTGATCTGTATAGTTACACTATAACACAGCTCACTAGGCCACCTGATCTGTATACATAGTTACACTATTACAAAGCTCACTATGACACCTGGTCTGTATATATAATAGTTATTACACTATAACACAGCTCACTAGCACACCTGATCTGTATAGTTACACTATTACACAGCTCACTAGGACACCCAGTCTGTATAGTTACACTATTACACAGCTCACTAGGACACCTGATCTGTATAGTTACACTATAATACAGCTCACTAGGACACCGGATCTGTATAGTTACACTATAACCCAGCTCACTAGGACACCCAGTCTGTATAGTTCCACTATTACACAGCTCACTCTCACTGAGACACCTGGTCTGTATAGTTACACTATTAGACAGCTCACTAGGACACCGGATCTGTATAGATAGTTACACTATTACATAGCTCACTAGGACACCTGATCTGTATAGATAGTTACACTATTACACAGCTCACTGGGACATCATAGTTGTAGATGATTTTGTTTGAAGAAAGAAAAGGTAATCAGGATTGAACTGATCAAAGGGAGATAACTTTGTTTCAGACTGCCCACAGAACTGTGTTGAATGCGGTGAAGGGTCCAAGTGTACCCTCTGTAACAGCCACACCTTCCTCCGCCAGGGCAAGTGTGTCACCACATGTGGCTCCAGTTACTACGAGAACCGTAGAACCCAGATCTGTGAAGGTTTGTGTGAACATTCAAAACTGTCAACTCAATCAGACTAATCTGTGTTTGATAGATCGATGATGTATTTTTTGAAGAATTTTACCCACAAGCTTATGATTATAGGTAACAGTGTAACCCATCAAAGGAAATCATTGAACATTTTGAATTCTCATCTCTAAATTTGCATGGAAGAATGCACATTCCTTAATATTCCTATATCCCTGTAGATGTATACTATTCCTAGTTAATACAAGTTGATCTGATGCAGAAGACTTAATAATGTTATAAGACGTTGTTTTTTTATCCACATACATTCTTGGTAAAATGAAAAAAGAGGATCTTGAACTTATTTCCTTGTCATGCGATTGATGAAAATTGTCCTGAAGTTTTACAATATTTCCAGTAGAGATGTGATAGCAGTACATTGTTAATGACCCATATACATGTAGTGATGTTATACTGTTTACATTTGTCCTTCCCTAGAGAACCGTCAGGCACCAATCCTACAGATCTTTGGCCAGATCCTCACCGAGGAGGGAGGAATTGCCAGCATTCCGGCCGACATTTTCTACCTGTCTGACCCCGACACACCTGTAGAGGACTTGCTCCTGGTGCTGTCACGCCCCCCTGACAACGGTGAGCTGGTTAAGGCGGTGATGGGACATGACGTAGCACTACAGACTGAGGACACCTTCACGCTGGTCGACCTACACACAGGCAAAGTCCGCTTCATCCACAACAATCACGCAGGAAGTAAAAGTAAGACGGACACCTAACACAATCAAATAGATATCTGAAACAGTGTTTAAAATTCTGTTGAGCAGGCATTATGCATTCTTTTGAATAGATATTTAAGCATTGTTAAAAATTGTACATTTCATGTGTTACCATTTTTAACCTCAAGATTTGGTATGATAAGTTATATTTATCTATGAAAAAAAGGTCCACATTTCCGTAACTTGTTAAATTTCTTTAAAAGCACTACATTTTGTTCTCTTAACCCAGGTCGGATTGTGTTGAGGGCCAGCGATCATATGATGCTGAGTGATGAGGCCACATTAAGTATCCAGGCTGTATCTAGACAGGCACCACGTCTTCTCAGGAAGGAACCACTTGTGGTGACCAGTGGGGAAACCTCAACCCTGGACACCATAGACCTTCAGATCAGCAGAGCAGAAGACGAGGTCTCCATCAGTGTACTTCAGGGTAGGAGGTGTTAGAACTGTATACAAATTTAATTATATATATACACCAGAAACTGTGTAAGTCTGTCCCTCAGAATGTTGAAGTACTTGGAACCAATCATGTGGTGACATTATATGTTTGTTTACAAATTGCTTTTCATTGTAAATGTTAAAAATACGGATTTCAGTCCTTATTAGAAGCCTTTTATTTTACTTTTTCTACTGAAACTTTTAATTTTAGGCCCTTACCATGGGCAGATAATCCACCTGAAGTTTGACGCTCCAGTTACATCCTTCACCCTACAAGACCTGAGAGCAGGATTAATCGGATACCGACACACAGGGCAAAACAGTGAGGCTCGTGACTTATTTCTGCTACAGGTGTCTGACGGTTATCACCTCCTCAACTTCATCATCAATATCAACATTCGCATCAAGGTATGTTAAGAATTCTAGGGTCATTAATTGTTAAGGCTGGTTTTTCCGCTATTTAAAAAAAAAAAATCTCATGTTTCTTATAAAAAAATCTGGACAACTTTTATTTTATATATGGCCTTTACTTTTTAACAACTATGGTACTGATGTTATAAATATCTTAAATCAAATGATAAGGATTTGATAACATTTATACTGTACATTGCAATAATTTGACAATATTTCCTCCATGATTTCTTTTTCTGTTTTCTAGGATAGTTTGATTCCTGTTTTGGTCAACAACAAAATAGGTCGCCTTGCATCAGGTGATATGCTACAATTGACCTCTGACCTCTTGTTGGCTGAGGTCATGGACTTCGAGAAAACTCCGACAAGGGACATAATCTACACACTGATGCCCACTGTCAACAATCCAAAACAAGGTGGGTCAGTCCTACACTGATTTTAATAGGAGATTGCCCATGTAGACAAATGCTTGGTGTTATCAAATGTAAAATACTACAGTGTACTTGTTATAGAACAGAACCAAATATTGACAAGTGGGCAGTTGTCATTGTTAGTTTGAACCTACAAGTGATCGTTACCAAATATCAGGTGGTACCTGTTGTAGGGCAGTACCCAGATTGTATCTGTTGTAGGGCAGTACCCAGATGGTATCTGTTGTAGGACAGTACCTTTTGTAGGGCTGTACCCAGATGGTATCTGTTGTATGGCAGTACCCAGGTGGTATCTGTTGTAGGCCAGTACCTTTTGTAGGGCAGTACTCAGATGGTATCTGTTGTAGGGCAGTGCCCAGAAGGTATCTGTTGTAGGGCAGTACCTTTTGTAGGGCGGTACCCTGATGGTATCTGTTGTAGGACAGTACCCAGATGTTATCTGTTGTAGGACAGTACCCAGATGTTATCTGTTGTAGGACAGTACCCAGATGGCATCTGTTGTAGGACAGTACCCAGATTGTATCTGTTGTAGGGCAGTGCCCAGAAGGTATCTGTTGTAGGGCAGTACCTTTTTTAGGGCAGTACCCAGATGGTTACCCAGATGGTATCTGTTGTAGAACAGTACCTTTTGTAGGGCAGTACCAAGATGGTACCTGTTGTAGGGCAGTACCCAGATTGTATCTGTTGTAGGGCAGTACCCAGAGGGTATCTGTTGTAGGGCAGTACCTTTTTTAGGGCAGTACCCAGATGGTATCTTTTGTAGGGCAGTACCCAGATGATACCTTTTGTAGGGCTGTACCCAGATTGTATCTGTTGTAGGGCAGTACCCAGATGGTTACCCAGCTGGTATCTGTTGTAGGACAGTAGCAAGATCGTACCTTTTGTAGGGCAGTACCCAAATGGTACCTTTTGTAGGGCTGTACGCAGATGGGATCTGTTGTAGGACAGTGCCTTTTGTAGGGCGGTACCCAGATGGTATCTGTTGTATGGCAGTACCCAGGTGGTATCTGTTGTAGGACAGTACCTGTTGTAGGACAGTACCTTTTGTAGGGCGGTACCCTGATGGTATCTGTTGTAGGACAGTAGCAAGATGGTACCTTTTGTAGGACAGTCCCCAGATGGTATCTGTTGTAGGACAGTACCTTTTGTAGGGCAGTACTCAGATGGTATCTGGTGTAGGGCAGTGCCTTTTGTAGGGCAGTACCCAGAGGGTATCTGTTGTAGGGCAGTACCTTTTGTAGGGCAGTACCCAGATGGTTACCCAGATGGTATCTGTTGTAGGACAGTAGCAAGATGGTACCTTTTGTAGGGCAGTACCCAGATGGTATCTGTTGTAGGGCAGTACCCAAATGGTATCTGTTGTAGGGCAGTACCTTTTTTAGGGCAGTACCCAGATGGTTACCCAGCTGGTATCTGTTGTAGGACAGTAGCAAGATGGTTCCTTTTGTAGGGCAGTACCCAGATGGTATCTGTTGTAGGGCAGTAACAAGATAGTACCTTTTGTAGGGCAGTACCCAGATGGTATCTGTTGTAGGGCAGTACCAAGATGGTACCTTTTGTAGGGCAGTACCCAGATGGTATCTGTTGTAGGGCAGTACCTTTTATAGGGCAGTACCCAGATGGTATCTGTTGTAGTGCAGTACCTTTTGTAGGGCAGTACATTTTGTAGGGCAGTGCCCAGATGTTATCTGTTGTAGGGCAGTACCAAGATGGTACCTTTTGTAGGGCAGTACCCAGATGGTACCTTTTGTAGGGCAGTACCCAGATGGTACCTTTTGTAGGGCAGTACCCAGATGGTATCTGTTGTAGGGCAGTACCCAGATGGTATCTGTTGTAGGGCAGTACCCAGATGGTATCTGTTGTAGGGCAGTACCCAGATGGTATCTGTTGTAGGGCAGTACCCAGATGGTATCTGTTGTAGGGCAGTACCCAGATGGTATCTGTTGTAGGGCAGTACCCAGATGGTATCTGTTGTAGGGCAGTACCCAGATGGTATCTGTTGTAGGGCAGTACCCAGATGGTATCTGTTGTAGGGCAGTACCCAGATGGTATCTGTTGTAGGGCAGTACCCAGATGGTATCTGTTGTAGGGCAGTACCCAGATGGTATCTGTTGTAGGGCAGTACCCAGATGGTATCTGTTGTAGGGCAGTACCCAGATGGTATCTGTTGTAGGGCAGTACCCAGATGGTATCTGTTGTAGGGCAGTACCCAGATGGTATCTGTTGTAGGGCAGTACCCAGATGGTATCTGTTGTAGGGCAGTACCCAGATGGTATCTGTTGTAGGGCAGTACCCAGATGGTATCTGTTGTAGGGCAGTACCCAGATGGTATCTGTTGTAGGGCAGTACCCAGATGGTATCTGTTGTAGGGCAGTACCCAGATGGTATCTGTTGTAGGGCAGTACCCAGATGGTATCTGTTGTAGGGCAGTACCCAGATGGTATCTGTTGTAGGGCAGTACCCAGATGGTATCTGTTGTAGGGCAGTACCCGATAGTATCTGTTGTAGGGCAGTACCCGATAGTATCTGTTGTAGGGCAGTACCCAGATGGTACTTGTACCCAGGTAACAGTAGTGCTGGTACAGCTGCTTCTGACACATAGACATTAAAACCAGATCTGATATAAAAACATTAGATGAACTGATTTACCTTTTGATAAAACATAGAGTTATCTCTCCTTCCTTTTATCTTTCCTTACTTGGTGTTGTGACAGGGGAGGTGCTCATGGTTGTGCCAATGCCTGAGGAGGGGCTGGGCCGGGGCTGGGAGGATATAGGCGGCGGAACAATGGCCGCCAAAATGTTCCGTTTCATGCAGAGGGACATCAATGAGGGAAGGATCTGGTACAAAAATAAGGCCACATCAGCATTATCGGATATCATTTCTTTTGAGGTAATTTTGTTTGACATCTTTCATCTTTGATATTTTGACTTTTTCCACATTTTTTTCATATCATGTTGAATTGTCTTGAATAATTAATAAGAAAGTTGCTATAATTCCATACCATTCCATAACCATGTATAAAATTAGGATATACAATGCCTTGTGACTAACTACCAGTGTAATATAATGATATACAATGTCTTGTGACTAGTTACCAGTGTAATACAATGATATACAATGCCTTGTGAATAACTACCAGTGTAATATAATGATATACAATGCCTTGTGACTAACTACCAGTGTAATATAATAATATACAATGCCTTGTTACTAGCTACCAGTATAATATAATGATATACAATGCCTTGTGACTAACTACCAGTGTAATATAATAATATACAATGCCTTGTTACTAGCTACCAGTATAATATAATGATATACAATACCTTGTGACTAGCTACCAGTATAATATAATGATATACAATACCTTGTGACTAACTACCAGTATAATATAATGATATACAATGCCTTGTGACTAGCTACCAGTATAATATAATGATATACAATGCCTTGTGACTA